CTACAATAAAACTGCCTTTCCGACATTGAAGCAGTTTGCTTACATAAGAACACAGGAGGTATGTTTTATTGGATGAGCTCTTAACACATTACACCCTAACTTGCCCGGGATCGCCCGAGAATTTCCTTACGCGCTCCACCCTAACTCCCCCGGAATCACCCGCTCTGACCAGGCGTCTTTACAAATGAAGTCTCGAGACTCTGGGGCCAAGATTTTGTTCTACACAGTTAAAGTTATTGCAAAATGTTTCTTCTTCATTTAGATACCGAAACGAAATTTTTCTGGTTAGTAGTTTTATTTTTAGGGCCGATCGAAGTACGATTGTGTTTCCGATACTTCAAAAGTGTCTCAACTTCTTGTAGAGCATGTTATCCCTATGTACTTGAACTAAAAAAAAGTTTGTATTAAACATGTTATCCCAAAGTACATGAACTTTTAAAAAGTTTGTATTAAACATGTTATCCATAAGTACTTGAACTAAAAAATAGTTTGTACAGCAGAATAGTGCTTCCATTCAGGCATTATTAGTCTGCCATTTTTTATTTCTATAGATCAATCTCTATTCTACTACTCTTGCTAATATTGAAGTCTGATTATAAACCTGCTACCTGTAAACCAGCTTTTGTATTGATCTAAGCTCCACAATCTAAACTTTAAAGCTTAACTGTATTCTTTTTGATACTTATTTGCATGATTGAATGTTTTGACATTTTACTTTCGTATTTGCTATAATGTTGTGGTTCAATGTCTGTTTGTATTTTTTACTTTGATACAACAGTATGTGCTATTCTTGTCTATTCTCCAGGATCCGTATCCTGAGTTGATGGACGTCCCAGTGAAGCCAGGAATTGTTCCTATCCCTCCCAGATTTCAGATTCTGGACCCTCACATTGTAGTCTTACATCTGTGCGCCAAATCTGGCCTTCCACCTGAGAAGGTGAGTAAGGAAAGTTGAGGACAAATAAACCTCATTTCACGTTAATACCAGCCTTTTACTTCTGAAGGAATACTTTAGTTTTAGTAGGTTTTACACAATAAGGTCATATAAGTGCTAAAGATTAGAGGCATTACAAGAGAGTAACAAAAAATGCAAAAAAGAAGGCGAGATAAGGACGATAGATGTTTGATAAAAAAGAAGCAAACCCCACTAGAGCACCCACCAGCCTCCTGAAGGGAATACTTTTGTTGATCGATCAAAAATATTCAATAGTCCCATTTTACATGTCTATTGTTTTGATAGTTCAGATTATACGAAAAGCATGTAGGGCCTTTTGCTAATGCTGTTCTTTACAAGTATCGTTGTGAATTATTATCTAATTCTATTGTTTATTATCTTTTATTTTTCATGCATTGATATGTTTTTTTTCTCCAGGTGATGGGTGTTCGATTCTTGAATGTTACTGAAGGTCAAATGATGGTGATCTGGTCGGATGACAATATTCATACAAAGTAAGTGTGCAGTTGGCGACTGCTCTGATATGATTTTCTACTTCTTTTCTATCAATCATTTATTATTCTTATCTACACTCCTTTTCTATATGTTACTGTCTTGTAATACCTTTAATCTTTGGCTCTTATGACCCCATTTGTGCCTTTTTACTCTTACTAAAACTAGGAACTAAAGCAAAATAAGTCTTAACCTCAGTAACCTCTGAAATTTGACCTAGTCCTTCAATCAACATCTAATCAATTTCTCATGGGTCTCAATACTACTCTAGTCTCAGTGTGGCTCTTTGAGCTCCTGTCACATACTTGCTCTGTCACGTTCTCTCTACCAATGTCTGTGGTGTAGCGGTTAGGCTCTTCATCGCTACATGTAGGAGACGGGGGTTTGATTCCTGAGTGGAGAAAAATTCTATCGAGTGTCCCTGTCTTTCTGCTATGATGTTGCATCCCTCTCAACCTGGGTTAGCCGTGCCAGACAAGTTTGAAGCTTGCCTCCAAAATAAGCTAAATTGTGTTGATGAGGGTGTAAAAGAGGATAATCATTAAATTTTTATGATTACAGCCTCACTGTACAGCCTCAGTCATGAAAGTGTGGCCTGCCCGTGCTGCTCTATAGACTTTTTTTCTGTTTTGTCTTATGCAGATTTATGTAAAAATTGCAGGGTTATTTCTGCCTATTTGTGCTTTGATGTTTTTCGGGCATTTTGTCTATTGTCTTCTGCTTCATCTTTTGTTTATAGCCTTTTCTTATATATATCATCTGAGAGACTTTTGTTAAAGAACTTTTCCTTTAGGATGCATGACTAAAATTACAAAAAGCAAAAGACTGTTGAAATACTCACAATGTAAAAGCATCTTCCATTCAATGCAGGTTTCTGTCAAAATGACAAATTCTTTTCCATCATTAAAAAATGTACATCCCTGAGCAGATGTCTGCTGACATATGAAGTGGAAGTTTCAACCTCAGGACCATCAGGTCCTTACCGCAGAGTCAACAAAAACAACTCAGTTGTCACGCTTTTCCTTTTTGAAACTGGTAAGTACTAAAAATCTTCACCCTGCTTTTACTTTTAGTTTGTTTGCTTCTTTTGTTATTTTCTTTAGTTTAAGTTTTCAGAATGTGTGGTGTAGCAGTTAGATGCTTCACTGTCACGCGCAAGAGACCCAAGTTTGATTCCCAAGTGGGGAGGAAGGTTGACCGTGACAGGCAGGGTTGGAATTGGAAGCTTTCCTCCAAATTGATCTAAATCTTGTTGATGGGACATAATAAAAACGCTTAATTTTTATTGAAGGTCTAGGTCTTTTCAAAGGCAGAGAACTTGGTCACTTTACTGAAAGGAAAGCACTATTCCCATAGGCCCTGAAACTATTCCCAGTGACACTGGGGATAGGACCAGAAACTATTCCCAGTGACACTGGGGATAGGCCCAGAAACTATTCCCAGTGACACTGGGGATAGGCCCAGAAACTATTCCCTGTGACACTGGGGATAGGACCAGAAACTATTCCCAGTGACACTGGGGATAGGACCAGAAACTATTCCCAGTGACACTGGGGATAGGCCCAGAAACTATTCCCTGTGACACTGGGGATAGGACCAGAAACTATTCCCAGTGACACTGGGGATAGGACCAGAAACTGTTCCCAGTGACACTGAGAACTGAGAACAGATGGGCCAATTAGCCTATTGTTCCCCCCCCCCACTGATCTACATGATCTATATTTGATGGTGATGGGTTACTAAATACTAGATCTCTAAACTATATTATCTCCAATCTAGATCTAACTAAACTAAAGTAGATTCTGGTGTGAGTGGGAGTGGGTTTTTTTAAAGAAAAAGAATGATCATTCTATGTTTGCTGGTTATTTAGTCGTAATTTAAATGTACGTGTAGATCTAGATCTACATAGGCTACGGATTTCCCTTGTCACTGGGAATAGTTTCTGTACCTATCCCCAGTGTCACTGGGAATAGTCACTTCGTTACTGAAAACCAGGTGGAGAGAAATTATCCAAGCAGGACAAGAAAAGTTCTGACCACCATAGAGAGGTCAACACATTCAATAAATCTATGAAAGGCCTCACATGAACCGAAAAAAATAAGATATCACTCACTGTATACCCTTTGTACCCTTTCCCCTTTCTAACCAGATAAGACGAGATATTGGTGTTTTGGCATTGAGGTAGAGTGTTTGTCTTCTGTTAGAAAGGTCTCATATTTGAAGCTCGATTTTTCCTCTCATATGATTACTTTGTCAAACTGTATTGACAAAAAATGATTTTGTGTATTTTCCTCAGACTGTACTTTTCCTATTCATTTTTTTTTTCAAGCAAAATATTTTCCATTTTTTCAATAAGTTATCACATGTAGGTGATTGTAAGCCTACGTGTGTGTGCATGTGTGTGCGTGTGTGTGTGTGTGTGTGTGTGTGTATGTGTGTGTGTGTGTTAGTGCGTATGTGTGTGTGTGTGTGTGTGTGTGTGTACACGTGGTGAAACACCAAACCAATGTGCCAGGATCTGG